TAATACAGAAAACCATGCCGTATAGTCCTTCTCTTCCCTGTGTTAGTGATGCTAAATATGGCTGGTATATTTGTCTATAGGCATGCACCTCTTTCTCCCAGTACACTTGTCAAAGATTGCCCTCATATCCTGCAAGAGTTCCTGTTTGATATGCACAGATGGTCTGCAGTGCCAGAGGCAAAATGTTTTAATGCAGTGACACACTGACCAGGGAGCATACACAATCCCTTCATGTGGCAGAATTGTTCTGAGATCCAAGTTTACAATTGATTTTGATGAGGAAGGCAGACAGTCTAACATCTGACAGACTATCCATTCAATTGTCATCCGCTGGCGCCTGCATGTCATTTAACTCCCAATGAATATGAGAAAAAGCATGGTAGTTGAATGAAATTTTAATGTTAGGAATGTAGGATATGATTTAGAGATCAAGAGAGAAAGTAATACAATACTGGGCTGACAAAAATTGCAATGTAATTTTACATATTTGTGGTCTATTGTTATTCAGTCAGCTTAATATCTTACTCATGAGGTTTAAGTAGCAAAAGGAATATTGGATCCTTCATATGAGAGAGGAAATATGAATCTAGAGTGAAAAAAATGTCTGATCGCTGGTGTTAGTCAAGAGTTTACCAAGTGCATTTTACTATTATCTAGTTTAAAAATTATTTTTAATGGACCTCCAATGGTTAAAACAGATTTACAGTTGAAAGTATGTTCTTGTGAGGAGTGAAGTTAAAATGAAAATCCAGTCAAGAGCAATACGCTTGAGTTGAATGTATTCACATTTATGGAAAAAGGACACCGTTAAAACCCTTTCCCTATTGTATATTTCAAGCTAAGCTTTATTTTAAAAAAAGGACTGAATTGGAAACCACTGATTGGATTTTGAAAGAAGACCGAGGCTGCAGTCCAGTGACTTGAAATTGTATCTTTTCTAAAATGGTTGAATATTTGCATCACTGTATATCAAAGCCATTAAGTGAAACCAACCTGTCTGCAAAGAGTCTGTCAAAGATAATTACCTTAGAGGAATGTGAAAGAACCACATTTCCTGTCCCTAAATGCAGGCCATGCAGATTCATCTGGGTGGGGAACAAGCATTAGATATCACCACTCCAGACAAAGGACTTTGGATCAGAGGAATATTCAACACCCAGCCATAATCTCATCAAGTTACAGCTAGAATCCACTATATATTAGCATGTGTGGGTTACTTGTTCAATTGGAGATAGTTACATGTAACAAGCCAGATAACTTGTGTGTTTAAGGAACTGTTTATCCAAGCCATAGATGATAGCAGAAATTATACCATTTGAAGAGCCCTTTTGTGGATTGTATTCTCTCTCTCTGTGTGCACCCCTTCTGAAAGATTGAACACTGTTTGCTAATTGAATATGCAAGTCTGCAATTATAGAGATCTTAAAGTATCCTACTTAGCTGCTGTCTATATAAGAATGGATAAATCTTCTGTTTACACTTTTAAACTGCCTCGACACTGAAAGCAAATGGATCACCATGCTCAGATGATCACCACCTAGATCAACCCATCAACCAATGAGAACTGGACTTGAAGATATTACTTGATTTATCCTCCCTCTCTATTATTGGTGCTTACTGGTGTTTGTGTGTATGAACTTCAAATGGGTGTTTGTGTGAAAATTGAAGCATTTTTATTATTTTACTGGACTTTGTTGAGTATAATAATTCTATTTTCAAACAAAAAAATCAAGAAAACCTGTATATTGATTATTCACAGCATGTAAACAGTTAAACACCACATTGGCCAGCACATTCATTTCTTTTAGAACAAAAGCCTGTTTTGATCAAGTGGGGAAAAGAAGGAGCTATTTAACTCCCTCCTCAACTGATTGTGGTATATGTAACATTGGTGTCTGTGTTGGTTTCTAAACTTAGCTGAGTGAAATGACCGGAGTGATGTGAGTGATTTTGTGAAATTACTTTGAAGGCTGTGTTTTTGACTCGGCTGCAGGACACCACAGTCCAATCTTGTTTACATTACATGGCTTAGGTTGTAGTCCTGTCAGCACATACAACTTGCTGCTCCAATTAAACAACATTTTTTTGCTAGTTCCAAATTGAATGTGGGAAGACAAGGTGCAAGTCAAATGATATTTTCATGCTTTGGTTTTCATTGTTCAGTTTCCCCCTGGTGAAAAGTGCACCATATCGGAGTCAATGAGGTAAATGAACTGCCATTTCAAGAATCAGCTTAAACTTTTCAATTTAGAAATGCAAAGGCATGTCTGAATCATCCAGCATTTTACTAAAACTGAAACTTTGAGTTCAAAATGTGGAAGAGAGCTCACTACGCTTAACAAATTGAGCTCTATAAACTTTAGATAATGACATAATTGGTGGAAAAATACAAGTGTATATCTTATAAGCATCACTGCATTATATTTCATTGAAGAATCGACTATTGTCCTGAGCTGTAAATTATTTTCACTAAGATTCTTGTTTAGAAGGGGAATCGAGGGTTATGGGGAAAGGCCAGCAGAGTGGACATGAGAAATTTCAGATACAAAAAAAACTGCAGGAGCTTTGATACTATTGAATGAAGGAGCAGGGTTGAGGGGCCGAGTGGCCAATTCCTGTTTCTATTTCTTATGATCTTGTGGCTTTTAGTTTGGTCTTAGTTCTTAAATTACTGTCAATCAACAAAATCAGATATTTCTAAAACTTACTGCTCCTGCTGTCAAAACATTGCTTGTTAGTTTGTTTTTTTTTCACCCAAAGCTGAAAGACTTATAGAGTTACCTATTTTAAAAATGCTTCTGGAAATAATAGCTAGGAAGATAATTCATAGAAATGTCACTGAAGGAACTACATCTGAACGAAGAAATAAAAGCTCCACATTGTGTACTGAATCAAAAATGTTGACTTCTATTGTGCACAATATAGTCCAAACAACAGTTTTTCAAGATGCCCTCCAATCCTATGACATACCTAATCTGAGATTATAAACTTGTTCGCCGAGCCGGTGTGTATGATTGCAGATGTTTTGTCACCCTGCAAGGTAACATCGTTGGTGCACCTCCGGTGAAGCGTTGGTGTTCTGTCCCGCTTGTTATTTATATGCCTCGTTTCGCTGGGGTGGTTGCAATCACTTCCGGTTGTTTTTCAGTGGTTTGTATATCAGGTTGAGTTCAATGTGTTTGTTGATGGAGTTCCGGTTGGAATGCCAGGCCTCCAGGAACTCCCTGGCATGTCTCTGTTTGGCCTGTGCTATTATGGATGTGTTGTCTCAGTTGAATTTGTGTCCTTCTTTGTCCGTGTGTATTGAAACCAGTGAGAATTGGTCGTGTCTCTTGGTGGCCAATTGGTGTTCATGTATCCTCATTGTCAGTTTTCTTCCAGTTTGGCCTATGTAATGTTTCTTACAGTTCTTGCATGGTATCTTGTATGTTATGTTAATTTTATTGGTTGTGGGTTTGGGATTCTTTTGCATTCGTCAGTAGCTGTCGCAGGGTGGTTGTCGGTTTGTGGGCTACCCTGATACCAAGGGGTCTAAGTAGTCTTGTGGTCAGCTCTGATTTTACAGTAGGGTGACTAGAGTGGCTGTGTTGTGCCTTCTTATTGTGGTCTGTTGTGGAGGTATTAGCGGATTGTGCTTTTTTTTGGGTATCCATTCATTTTACAAACTGTGTAAGTGCACCTGTTCTGCTTTGCGCAATTCCGGGTTGCTGCAGTGTGTTGTGGCTCATTTGAATAATGTCCTGATGCAGCTCCGTTTATGGGTGTTAGAGTAGTTGCTGGAGTATTAAGTATCTGGTCGATATGTGTGGTCTTTCTATATACGCTAGTCTGGAATTCCCCGATGTTCTTGTGTTCCACCATTATGTCTAGGAAGGGTAGTCGGTTGTTGTTCTCTTCTTCTTTTGTGAACTTTATCCCAGTGAGGATGTTGTTTACATGTCGGTGGGTTTCTTCTAGTCGTGTGCGTTTGATAATCACAAAGATGTCACCTACATAGTGGACCCAGAGTTTGGGTTGTATAGTGGGGAGCACTGTCTGTTCTAACCTTTGCATTACTGCTTCTGCAATCAGTCCTGATATTGGTGTTCCGTTGATTTGTTTAAATATATGGCCATTGAAGTTGAAGTGGGTTGTGAGGTACAGATCCAGCAGTTTCAGGGTGCCGTCCTTGTTGATGCTTGATATCGTGCAGTGCCTGTCTTCCTGATTCATCCAGCAGTGTGGTAATTGTCTCTTTGGCTGGGTCAATGTTTATGGATGTAAATAGTGCTGTTATGTCGAAGGATATCGTTATCTCTTCCTCTTCTACTTTGGTGTCCTTGATGATGTTGAGGAATTCTTGGGAGGAGTTGCACAACGGAAACTTTAATACTTAGTAGGCAACACTACCCACTTCTCCCAAGAATTGCTCAATTTTATTTTAATATCCATTCACTTTTATGGAGAATGATGGCTTGTGAAATTGATGTTTGACCTGATCCCACAGGGTGGTTGAAATTAAAATTGGCCCCACTGCCTTTACTTTCAATAACCATTTCTAACTTGTCTTTTACCTAGGAATCATCATCCCTGTCCACGTTATGCAAACTTTGTTCCTGCCCATTTTCTGGATAAAATTATTATTTAGCTTTGTACTTTTGTTGGATCTGTACAGCCAGTTTCACCCGATCCATTGTAGTTTTTCAGCACTAGCTTTAATATACATGAAAAACCTACAAATTGCTTTATTTGTTACAGGCATGGAGGGAATTGAATAAATGCATTATTCAAAGGACAACAGGGGATTTTGACCTTGGAGCTACCTCAGATTAATGTATACTTACTCTGCAGCATCACTAAGAATCTTTAGCTATCTGGGCACAAACCATACAATTAGTGCTCAAGGAAAATCTGTACAAGTTTCAAAATTTCAATACAGATGCTTAGCAGAAACTTTAAATAAATCAGTTCTTCATCGTTCACTACTACGTGTAATATTCTCTCTGTTTTTCTCCCCAAAGGATTTGCATTGCTGGGAGGACACCCATGCTTCCTCACTACACAAGATATTCATCTAGGAATAAATGAGAGCCGTAAAGACACAGCAAGGTTAGTGGCAGCATAAAACTGGACAAGGAGATGATAAAGACAATATGATGTTGAATGTGTTATAGTAATTGAAACTAGAAAATAGTGCCTCCAGTACAAGAGTACAATTGCAATGGTGTGGTTGGAGTGTGATCTTCTCCAGAATTTATGGTCTTTAATAAAGGAATCCAGTAGAGCTACCACCAAGTGAGAAATCATAGCTAAATATAAAGAAGTGGAACTGTGTTTCATCTGACCACAATACGTACCATATTGAAGCATTATTGATGTCAGTTAAGAATGAAGCAGTAATTTTCTCTCCAGAGGCAATATATACACAGAATATATAAAGGTATCTTTGGACAAACAGAATTAAAAGTGCTTACAGCAACCAAAGATTACATTTCAAGAGACTTAAGACATGCGTTATTTGTTTAGTTACCTAAAAAATTTACAACAATGGCATACAAACATTTCTACAAGCTGATTGTCATCTAATCAGCGTGATCTTGAAAATTGTAACAGAAATAAGTAATAATAGATTTTGACACTAAAATTAGTGACACAGTGTGGACTTAGACCTGGAGTAGGAACAGGAGAAGGAATATTTAATCTGGGAACGATCATTAACAAAAGTTGAAAAGCAAAAAAAATTTACACGTGCCTCATACAATATGAAAGGCTTTCAACTTTGTATATCACCAGTAATAGATATGCTGTTGAAATGTAACATTGTCAATAAAGATATGAGATTTATCCAGACTTTATCTTCGGACCAAATAGTGAGCATCAAACTAGAGAAGGACAGTCAGATATGTTTCAAGTGAAGAGAAGAAGGCTGTGTACTGTCACCAAAGTCTTCAATCTGTACCCAGAATTATTCAAAATTAGATGTACTTCCAGGAATAAAAATTAGAGGCAGCAACATAATGGACTTGTGGTACACTTGTGACATGGTGCTACTTGCAGAATTTTTTTTCTTGCTTGTTTATAGGATATGAGCATCACTGGCTGAGTTCACATTTATTTTCCATCCCTAAATGGCCCGGAGAAGAAGGCAGTTGACTACCTTCTTGAACCTTGCAGTCCTTGGTCTGTGAAAACACTCACAATGCTGTTAGGAAAGGAGTTCCAGGACAGTGACCCTATGACAGTAAAGGAAATATGAAATAGTTTCAAGTCAGGATTGTCAGTGGCTTTGAAGGGAACTTGCAGGTGCTGGTGTTCCCATGTATGTGCAGTCCTGTCCTTCTGTGTGATAGAGGTTGCAGGTTGGGAAAGTGCTGTTGAAGGAGATGTGGTGAGGTACTGCAGAGCATCTTGGAGATGTAACTCACGGATGCCACTGTGTTCCAGTGGTGAAGGTGGTGAATGTGCTGCCGATAAAGGCTGTTGCTTTGACATGAGTGGTGTTAATCTTCCTTGAATGCTGTCAGACCTTCATTCAACTAGACAAGTGGAGAGCATGCCATCATAGTCCTGACCTGTTCCATGTGGATGGTGGATGTTTTTGGGGAGACAGTAGGTGAATTACACACTGCAGAATTTCTAGCCTCTGACCTGCTCTTATAGCCATAGCATATTCATGGATGGTCCAGTTCAATTTCTGGTCATTGGTAATCTTCCAGAATGTTGATAGCAGGATTTCAGTGATGATAATGACATTGAATAACAAATGGACAATGCTCACATTCTCCCTTGTTGAGAGAACAACATTCACTCTTGTTGAGAGATGAACACTGCCTAGCACTTATGTGACATGCATGTTACTTGCCAACTATCAGTTCAAGGCTGAATGTAATCCAGATCTCGTTGCATGCTCAAAATATATGACACAATCTCCTAACAGACAAATGAAAAGATACTTGTTCACATTTCCTTTTATTTTGGTATGCTGCATTGTCACTTTGTACTGTACTGCTCCCTGCTGACAGCACTTGCACTTCATTCCAGCCTAACCCTGAGGCCAGTCATTGTACTTTGGTCCATGTGGTTCAGTATCTGAGAGTCACAAATTGTGCTGAACATTATGCAATCAAGAGGAAACACCCCACTTCTGACCTTACGGAGGGAAAGTCATTGATATAGCAGCTGAAAATGGCTTAGAATACAACACTCAAGAACTCCTGCAACAATGTCCTGGAGTTGGGAGGACTGGCCTACAATAACCACAATTCCAAATAGCAGAGAGTTTTCCCTCTGATTCCCATTAATGCTGGTTTTGCTTGGGTTCCTTGATACCATGCAAGTTATAAGTCATCACTTAGGTAATTTATCTTATGCAAGATCAGCTCTTAATTTTTGTCAAATAAATAATCCATTCACTTAAAGATAAACACCCATTTAACTATCAATGTCTACTGAACAAATACAATCCTTCAAATATAAAATTGATATCTGTCAGAAAAAATATATTTCTTTTTAGACATAAAATAAAGAAGCATTTCATTCTGAGATAGCAGGAACTGCAGATGCTGGAGAATCTGCAATAACAAGATGTAGAGCTGGATGAACACAGCAGGCCAAGCAGCATCAGAGGAGCAGGAAGGCTGACGTTTCGGGCCTACACCCTTCATTCTAGTGCTTTCTAAAATATATAAGTATGCACGTTTATTGTTTCATGAATACCATAGCATAAGACTTCCCATATTTCTTTCCATCCTCTTGTTGTAATAATATTAATCAACCTGTTTGGATATGTTACTACACACCCTTGAATCTAGGTGCCCTGGCTCAGAGTTCGAGACAATAGCGGTGCACAACAAAAAACTCATTCTCTGGTCGTAGCCTTCCCATTTGATTCATTCAACCTAAGGACTGCTACCAACATTGGCCACCAGATGGTGCTAGGGACCAGCTTTACTGATCTTTTTCCTTTCTCATGCAGGGAGATGTTTGAGCTTCAACTTAGATACCATTTTAATGCAGCTAAATTTGAGTAAAATGAGATTTTAACAACCTTTGGCCTCTTTTCAAGGCATTGACAATCAACACTAAAATGCTCATTAATGATTAAACAATATGGACTTGTATGTATACCTGTCCTCAAAATAAAAAGCATTAAAGTATAATAGTTTTAACATTTAATCGCTGTCCTTATGTTTCCCTTACATTCCCTAGTTTTCCTGCTTGATGCATTACAAAGTATCAAACGTGTTGCACAAATCACAGGTCTTGTTTGTAACTAATCATTTAGCATTTCTGTTCATAAACTATACTCAAAATTAAGAAACTGATTAAAATGTCTTTAAAATAAATTCTGTTCTTTGTACCCTACCACCAAAAATTAGCCCTGCTTTTGCTGACATTTTTGAAAGGAGTTTTGTTGAATTGAACTTCATATTGGTTGGAATAGATCAGATCAGAATCAGCTGCAAATTGGAGCCAGCCTAATTCTAGTGTAATCTTTCACCAGTAACTAGTCTTTCCGCAGGGAATAGGAAATGTGGGCATGACATATTATTATTAGGCCCTTTTACCTAGCAGTACATCCCTCTGCTTGATGGTCCATGTGCTCTGCCCTTCATCTTATTTATGTTTTTCATTGTTTGTTTGTCCTGCTTTCTGCACTGCACTCTGGGTAATCAGGCTGGACCATCTGGTGCCCTGAGCTATGAAACAAACAGAAAAGCAATTGACAGTAATGCCAGAGCAACAAAGCTTAATTACGCATTGTATTGTCCGGTTTACTGGATTCACAGGAACTCGATACGATTAGTACAACTATAGTTGTAATTTGCACAAAGCTTTTGATGGAGTTGTAACCTATAATTACTAAACAAAAGGAGTACACATCATAATTAGACACATATAAAGAAGCTTTGGAGCTTCTTATAGGGAAAAATAATATGGTAGCATGAAATATTTTACTGTACAACAGGTAATGTTTGTAAGTGAACAGTAAAAATATGCATCTTTGCTAATTAGAGTTTTGTTCATGTTACATAAAATTACCAAGGAAATATATATGGAAAAGGAGTAGCAAAGAGCTGTAAAAAAAAAAATCATTCATTTACCAATATCTTGCCCACATGTGGTTAAATTGAACTCTGATGCAGCTTCTTGTATTTTTTTATTTTCTGTTTGCGAATCAGAGGAAAAGGCGCTGTTATTGAACATAATGCTTATATTTACATAGAGTTTCCAAAACCTTTCATGTGTGTGTTAGTGTTATGTATTTTTTACTTGTGGCTTTACTTGCCTAGTTACAGTGTTAATGGCACTTGCTAAAGTGACGTGGAACCCAAGGTGAAAATGCACCATGGAAACACTAGCATCATTGGATGGAATATGGGGAGAAGTCATTCTGGGTCCCCTCGATCAGTCGAAATAAGGCCTCCAGGTGGCAGAATGATGAGCAGTTCCTACAGGGTGCTCCTGGCAAAGGACAAGCCAGACCCCACTGTGACCTTAGTGGAGGGTAGTGGTATGTTTACAGGCGGCCACCTCGAGTGGCAAAATACAGGGAGTGACAAAAACTGAATGAACTCTTTATGAAGCTCAAGGGTGAGGAATTTTGGAAATCCACTGTCAAGCCGAAGGTCAGAAAGACAGATGCCAAAATAGCAACTTTAAAAGAAAGAATTGAAGTTGTCAGTTTTGCTGACAGTTGCTACAGGCCAGAACCTCTGCTTGTGACCTTCGGGCAGCTTTGTGGTTTTCTGACAGGCTTTAAAGAAAAAAAAAAAATTGGAACGTTCCTGCTTACAGAAATTGCCATTGCTTTAAAAAAAAATCATTAGCTGTCAGTTAGAGCTAACAGTTCTTGAAAGCAGGAACTGACACCAGTAGTGATTGGAGGAGCAGTGTACACTGGGAAAACCAAGCTGCTGCTCCCATCACAGATGTCCAGCCACCAAAGTTCACGTCTCCTGAATGAATAATACAGAATAATTCAGTCTGTTCAATGTTGACTGCTCCTACCCATCCAATCAAAGGTTCTCTCTCTCCTGATCATCCTGCTACTTCAGAGACAGATCCATGTTGAAGGAGCAGCGAGGCAGGAGGGAGGGAACCTGTCATTGCAGGCTTATAGGCAGTTAATCTGCTCAGTCCCACTGTCGACATGTAGGATACCTTCAGGCTGCACTGTCACCTATCATTTTCACCAGTTATTTAATGACTAGTCTGACTAGTTAGACTTCCACCATAATGCCAAAGACAAGAAGCTGAGGTGGACCAAAACCCAAAGCAGGATGGGTTGCTGATGGGAGTCTGTACTGTTGCCCTAATGCACAGGGCTCCCTGCTCTCAACCGTAGGTACCTGGCCCAGAATTGACATGATAACCCTTGGCTGCACTTCACTTGGTTTAAGAAGGCAAGTGATATTTCAAATTGTAGGTAAGGGATGACAAACTGTTGGGGAATACAGTGACCCTCATTTCCACAATTTTGTGCCAAGCTGAAATCTGATCATGTTGATTCTTGCCTGTGGAAAATAATTAAAAATGCAAAATTTCTGTTTGTACTATTGCACAACATCATTTTCATAATTTTGTGTGAGAAAATAATTCTCTTTAATCAGCCCCACTGGCTAGTTGTATATCAACATCACTCCAAAGTCAAAAAAAAGCTGAACAAAAAAGTATTCTTCATTAAAATGTTCTTTGCATGATAAATTAATGTCAAAATTTTAAACTGAAAGATGAATACTACAAACTTTTGCACTGATTAATTGTAGATGTTTGTTAAATGAATATTTGCATGTGGAGTACCAGTAAGGCTATTTTAACTAAAATTAATGCATGTAGCTGAATCAATATCATTGTATTGTATGTCTCTGGAGGCTGTTGAATTGCCAAAATTGTGTTAAACAAGGTTTTGCTCAATCTACTACTATTATTGTATTAGACGTTATGTTTCAAATGTACAGAATCTAACTAAGCATTTCCAGCAATTAACTCTATAACATTAAAAAAGAACTCAGGCCAAAACTATCATCCAGTAAATCATTTTTATTTTTGTATCTAGGCAATTGGGAATGCTTGTTTAAATCAGGGTTTTGCATTAATGTAAATACTGTAAGTATCCCACAGTGCAATGTTGAAGACAGTGCAGAGTATAAATGTTCTAAATAAAAGGTGATGCATGTGCTGTTGCTCAGCAACCTCCATTACAGTGTTGTTTTAGTTTGCTACCTCAAATAGGATTTTCTTGCGGGAACAGCTAGGACTGCAGCTCCAAATGTTATTTTTTACTTTCTGTACCAAGAACATTCTCACATTTAACTTTGACCACTCAGCCTGCTGATTAATGGAACAGTTACAACATTTTAATCATTTAGATCATTGTTGGCTGAGATTGAACAACTATCTTTCATATCCGTACAACAATAACAAGCAGAAAGAAAATAAAGCTCTGAGGAGTTGATTCATGTTCTTTTACAGAAGCTCTCATGGCAATAAATATAAATGGGCCAATTTTCCTGGCCAGTTACTGTCCTGGGGCAGTGGAAGCACAGTATCCTGGAAGTATGCTAGACTGTGGGCTTGAGCAGCACACAATTTTGCCTTTGGTCATCATTATAGTGGAAAGGGCTGACATTAGGTCCAGCTGAAGGCACACTATTGGTTAAGTGTCTTATTTAGGACAGGAAGTGCAAACACCTTGAAGGCATTGGCAATAAAGGGTAGGTTAAATAAAACCCCATTGGTGGGCCAAGAGCACTTTGATCTTAGCAGATAATGAAGGAAGGTTTTGTTTTAAAAATGCAGACAGCTTCTAAGAAAGTAATTTACAAGTGACAGAAACCTTAATTTGCATGTTTGTGGCCTTCACATAGTTTTAAAGGTTCCATCCACAGTGAAAGGATTTCATACCTAGAATGTACAGCAATCTGCGTCTCCTGAGGTCTGCATTATACAGGTGAATGGGTAGCACTCCAGCCCCAAGCAACAATGTAAGGAAGTGTAAACATATATAAGTGAAGGAAAGGATGAGGGGTGTTAATTTGACTCTTTATTCAAGGTACAATGAATTGGGAAAGGGAATCCCATATTTTAAATGAGGGTCATAGCGGCCAGGCAATTGAAATTAATCAACAGCTGATTTCCCCTTTGTCTGCCTCCAAATAAGCCGCATACTGAACTGAATTTGTGGGTGGAAATTGGATTCTGCTCAGCACTTTGCAAATAGTCAACACTTGAACAAAATGGTGATAGTTAGCACAAAATTGGACCTCAGGCCTCTATAGTACATTCAGGTAAGCTGCTGGCCCTTTCTATACCTCCACGTGCAAATTCCTCTTTAGGTGGATTGAATTTTGGGCCAGATGTCACTCTTTCATCGGTTTTAAATGCCTCCCTGAAGATGAAGAGAAGGATAGTGGGCAGAGGAATTGATAAAGGGCAGCTGCAACTGCCAGGAGTGAATTGGAGTTGAGAAGAATTCCTGCTTCACTTTATTAAAATAAATGTTTTGATTATATGCCCCCTTACTAGGTCACATCCAAATGAGCCCAGCACTGGCTTCACATGTGACAGGATTCTGAAACAGCCTTTAAACCTCAGAATAACATAGCTCAGGAACTCATTTTAGTTGACTGTCCTGGAGACCAATATGCAGAATGCAGTACTTAATCCTGTGTTATTGACTGTATATGCCAATCAACCATTGTATTGTTATTCAATAAGTTTTGCTTTGATAAAAATCCTATAATTGTATTTATTAAGAAAGCTGCTGATAAATCATTTGTGATGAAGATCTGATATTAATAAGTTATTATATTTGGTCATCTTGATAGCTGGAAAAAGCATTTTAATGAAACTTTGAGCTATGGCATAGTAGGACTATGTCACTCCAAAAGTGTAACTCCAACTTTGGTCATAGCATTATTCAGTGCTTCCTCCATCCTGACTAGGGTGTGTCTCTGTGGATATTGAATAAGGCCAGAGCAAGCTTTATGCTCCATGGCCAATTATCCCGGTGACAATATCATGGTTCAATAATAAAGAATGGCCTTTTGGGAGAGATACTGAATAATTGCGAGTCCCAGGGGAACTGCAAGTCGCATCTGTTTTCTACCCTAGCTCCTATTACCATTTTCTCTCTGATCTCCGACAGAGGCAGCTGCACAAGGGGAGGAGTCAACACAACAAGGGCTCAGGATCTGCATAGTCAAGGCATCTCAGCATAGCTTGGGAACAGCTACAGTACACACTCTTCCGGGGGGCCCCCTCATGTGATATTAAAGAAGGTGACACAGGGACAAATCACATCGGCACTGGAGCATATAGCGGAAGTGGTGTGGGCTGTCGTCGGTCTCCTTTTGGAGGATGAGGACAGACGCAGCCCTGCTTAGCAGGTTGAGAGCCTGGGGAGTGGTACATCAGCTGGCAGTATCTGGAGATTCAGCCCGAGACACCTGCTAATGTGTTCGAATCACCTGAGGCCCTGCAAAGTCATGGAGTAAAAAAATGGAGGGGCCCATTCATCTCATGTGCTCCACAGTGTCTCAGTGCTTTGAACTCGAGTTTTCCATTTAAGAGAGTGACCAACCCCATGCAGAGCCAAAAGATGGCATTACTCTGAGCAGGTATAGGAATGAGGTTGCTGACTTGCTCGCTGAGCTGACTTATTTTCGTTCAGACGCTTTGTCACCATGCCAGGTAACATCATCAGTGGAGCCTCCAATGAAGCAATGTTGTTCTACTCCACTTGGAATTTATACTGGCTGGTCCGTTATGGTGAGTAGTACTATGCTTGGAATTTATACTGTCTGGTCTATGAGTAGTACTACTCACCATAATGGCCCAGACAGTATAAATTCCAAGCGTAGTAGAACAACATCGCTTCATCGGAGACTTCACTGATGATGTTACCTAGCATGGTGATGAAACGTCTGAATGAGAACAAGCCAGCTCAGAGACCAAGTCCACAACCTCATCCACAACCCGAGCTACAGATCTTTGCTAAAACCTTACTTTTAGGGATGGCACAGTATCATGCAGACAATGAATATTGTGAATATTGGGTTGACTGGTGAGTGGCACAAATGGTGCAGTGAAGGATAGAGTGTATATCAGTTGTGCTTGCACTGCTGGTTCCCTCCAGTGATCAAGGCTGCCACGAAAGGGCAGAGATTGGAAGAGATGGTATCGAGGCAGTCACAAATCACGTCACCTCATCACCATCATCTTTCACCTCCAGTCCTCTTCCATGCACTGTGCGTTTGTTGTGTCACATCCTGCAACAGATATTACCCATATAGTGAGACCATTGCAGCACATTTTGGAGATGCACCCCCACACCTCAGCCCCTGAAACTTGCCCACCCAAACCAGGACCTCCACCACAAGGCTGCACTGGGAATACCAGGCCAGACAGGCACTAGAGGGCAGTCTGCTCTCTCTTCATCCTCAGCCTTTACTTGTGGCCATTTGTAAGATTTGCCAAGCTTGTGGTTATCATATATTGGTAATGCCACTTGAGATATTATTTACATGAGACACACCCACTGACTTCAATGGCACTAGCCATGTTGTTACACTAAAAACAGATGACCGAAGCTGGTATTTTCCAATATGAAGTGGTGAGCTAGATGCCACTGTGTATTCAAATATCTGTTCATGTGTGTGATTTGCTTTCAAATTCAGTGAATCAGACAGGTTAGAAGCATTCTGATTTGACCCAAGGGTTCTGAATGAAGACAAGCTAACTGGGTTGTTTTTCTTAACAGTGAACGTGAGTTCAAGTGTTATCAAACATGATAGTATTTAATGCATATCAAAAAGAATAAGAAACATTTGCAAAAATATAAACTTAGTGTTTGATTCTTACTAATTTGGAGTTTCTAAATTTGAGATTCGTTGCTAATGTTGGGGTCTGTTTGATTCATGTTCCAGGGTGTTGTCTGGAATGACTGACCTGATTCTGGCCCGGGTTTACAAACACTCTGAACTCCAGCAGTTAGCAGAAGATGGCTCAATCCCTGTGATTAATGGGTTGTCGGAACTCTATCATCCTATCCAGATCCTGGCTGATTATCTTACTCTTCAGGTATCTCCAAAGCAGTTTCAGATGGTTAAATGTAACAATCTCCCAGGGTGAAAGATACTTTTTATTGTCCAGCACCTAAATCATGACCATAGTCTAACTGGGAAGGCCATAGAGGATAGGTCTCTGGCACTGAGCCTGGCCCTGTGCCACAGAATGGAAGGGGGGAGAATAGGAGAGCAATTGTAGTGGGGGATTCGATAGTAAGAGGCACAGACAGGTGGTTCTGTGGACGCGAACAAGATGAACGGATGGTATGTTGCCTCCTGGGTGCCAGGGTCCGTGATGTCTCGGATCGTGTCTTCAAGATCCTTAAGCGGGAGGGTGAGCAACCAGCAGTCATGGTACACATCGGTACCAATGACATAGGGAGTAAAAGGACTGAGAATGTGAGAAACGAGTACAGGGAATTAGGTTGGAAGCTGAAAGTCCAGGATGAACATGGTAGTTATCTCTGGATTACTACCAGTGCCGTGTGATAACGAGGTAAGAAATGGGGAGAGAGTGCAGCTAAACACGTGGCTACAGGGCTGGTGTAGGAGGGAGGGCTTCCATAATGTGGATAATTGGAGCACATTCTGGGGAAGGTGGGCCCTGTACAGTAAGGACGGGTTGCACCTGAACCGGAAGGGCACAAATATCCTGGGAGGGAGGTTTGCTCGAGTTGTATAGGATGGTTTAAACTAGATTGGCAGGGGGTGGGGAACCGGATTTATAATTCAGAGGATGAGGTATTCAGCCTTCCAACGGACACAACAGGGAGTGCGGTGGTTTATAAAGAAATGCGGTCGATGGAGCGTAATTGTGGACACCGAGATGGTTTGAGGTGTGTATACTTCAATGCTAGAAGTATCAGAAATAAGGCGGATGAACTTAGAGCATCGGACGGTACTTGGAACTACGATGTTGTGGCCATTACAGAAACTTGGGTAACTCAAGGAGAGGAATGGTTGTTGGAAGTTCCAGGATTTAGATGCTTTAAAAGAAATAGGGAAAGTGGAAAAAGAGGCAGGGGAGTGGCATTTCTAGCCAGGGCGAGTATAGCAGCTACTGAAAGGCAGTTCAAGAATGATATGTCTACAGAGTCAGTTTGCGTTGAGGTCCAGAACAAGAAAGGAGCAGTCACTTTGTTGGGGTTTTTTTACAGACCCCCTAATAGTTGCAGAGAAGTAGAGGAACGGATTGGGAAGCAGATACTGGAAAGGTGCAGAAGTCACAGGGTTGTAGTCATGGGTGACTTCAACGTTCCAAATGTTGATTGGAAACATTTTAGTTGTAATAGTTTAGATGGAACGGATTTTGTCCAGTGCATTCAGGAAGGATTCCTGACTCAGTATGTAGATAGACCAACATGAGGAGAGGCCACTTTGGATTTGGTGCTTGGCAATGAACTGGGCCAAGTGTTAGACCTGTTGGTAGGAGAGCACTTTGGTGGTAGCGATCAAACTCTGTTACTTTTACAATAGTCATGGAAAAGGATAGGTACATACAGCAGGGTAAGGTTTATAATTGGGGGAAGGGTAATTACAATTCTATTAGGCAAGAACTGGGTAACATAAATTGGGAACAGATGCTGTCAGGGAAGAGCACTATTGAAATGTGGAGATTGTTTAAGGAATGCATACTGCATGTGCTCGATATGTTTGTCCCTAGCAGGTAGGGAAGATGCGGTCGAGTGAGGGAGCCTTGGTTCTCAAGAGAGGTCGAACGTTTGTTTAAGAGGAAGAAGGATGCTTATGTAAGGTTTAGGAAACAAGGAACAGAAAAGGCTTTAGAGGGATACAGGTTATCCAGGAAGGAGCTGAAGAAAGAGCTTAGGAGAGCTATAAGGGGGCATGAGAAAACCTTGGCAGATAGGATCAAGGAAAACTCCAAGCCTTTTTACACGTACGCGAGGAATAAGAGAATGACCAGAGAAAGGGTAGGGCCGATCAAGGATTGGAAAGGGAATTTGTGCACGGAGCCTAAAGAGATAGGAGAGGTCCTTAATGAATAATTTTCTTCGGTATTCACAACTCCGAGGGACCTAGTTGTAGAGGAGGACCGTGTGAAACAGGCTGGTCGGCTAGAGGAGGTCGATGTTAGTAAGGAAGATGTGCTAGGAAATTTAAGGAAGTTGAAGATAGATAAGTCCCCCCAGCCTGATGGGATTTATCCAAGGATTCTATGGGAAGCAAGGGAAGAGATCGCAGGGCCTTTGGCGATGATCTTTTCGTCCTCACCGTCCACGGGTATAGTGCCGGAAGATTGGAGAGAGGCAAACGTCATTCCCTTGTTCAAAAAAGGGAATAAGGATAACCCCGGAAATTACAGGCCAGTTAGCCTTACATCAGTGGTGGGAAAATTATTGGAAAGAGCTCTGAGAGATAGGATTTATGATCACTTGAAAAGGCACGGTTTGATTCGTAATAGTCAGCAAGGATTTGTGAGGGGTAGATCATGACTCTCAAACCTTATTGAATTCTTCGAAGAGGTGACCAAATACGTGGATGAAGGTAGAGCAGTGGATGTGGTATACATGGATTTAAGTAAGGCGTTTGATAAGGTTCCCCATGGTAGGCTCGTGCAGAAGGTAAGGAGGCATGGGATAGGGGGAAATGTGGCAGATTGGATTCAGAATTGGCTGACCCTTAGAAGACAAAGGGTGGTAGTGGACGGAAAATATTCAACATGGTGCTCAGTTACGAGGGGTGTACTACACGGATCTATTCTGGGTCCTCTTCTATTTGTGATTTTTGTAAATGATTTAGATGAAGGAGTGGAAGGGTGGATTAGTAAGTTCGTGGACGATTCGAAGGTGGATCATGTTGTGGACAGTGCAGAGGGCTGTTCTAGGGTACAAAGGGACGTTGATAGGATGCAGAGCTGGGCTGAGAAGTGGCAGATGGAGTTTAACCCTGAAAAGTGTGAAGTGATTCATTTTGGAAGGACAAACTTGAAAGCAGAATACAGGGTTAACAGAAAGATTCTTGGCAGTGTGGAGGAGCAGACGGATCTTGGGGATCATGTTCACAGTTCCCTGAAAGCTGCCACCCAGGTGGATAGAGTTGTTAAGAAGGCGTATTGTGTGTTAGCTTTCATTAATAGAGGGATTAAGTTCAAGAGCCGTGAAGTTATGCTCCAGCTATACAAATGTCTGGTTCGGCCACATCTGGAGTATTGTGTCCAGTTCTGGTCACCTCATTACAGGAAAGATGTGGAGGCGTTGGAAAAGATGCAGAGGAGATTTACCAGGATATTGCCTGGAATGGAGGGAAGGTCTTACGAGGAAAGGTTGAGAGAGCTAGGGCTTTTCTCTTTAGAACGACGAAGGATGAGAGGTGACTTGATAGAGGTGTATAAAATGATCAGAGGTATAGATAGAGTGGACAGCCAGAGACTTTTTCCTAGGGTGGACGTAGCTATTACGAGGGGGCATAGTTTTAAAGTGAGTGGAGGTAGATATAGGGGAGACGTCAGAGGTAGATTCTTTACTCAGAGAGTGGTCGTGGGGTGGAATGCATTGCAGGAGAGGTTAGTGGAGTCGGCCTCATTAGGGGCATTTAAGTGGCTATTAGATAGGTATATGGATGATAATATAAGGTAGGGGTGGAGGTTAGTTAGTCCTTAGGTTTAGGGTAAAAGTTCAGCACAATATCGTGGGCCGAAGGGCCTGTACTGTGCTGTACTGTTCTATGTTCTATGTTCTTATGTGGTGAGTGGTCACATGATTCTGATTCTGTTGCGGCACAAATTCGTGACCTTATTTATTTGTCAGGTTTTTGTTCTGTGAACAAAAACAAAGTTGCTGGAAAAACTCAGCAGGTCTAGCAGCATCTGTGGAGAAGAAAACAGAGTTAATGTTTCAGGTCCTGTTCTGTGAAGCTTTTCACAAATTTCTCTGAGCAATATGACTTGTTTCATCCTTCCTCCATCACATCCTCCCTTCACTGATATCCATTTCCCCGTCAATACTATTTATGCCCTCAAAGAGGAGGAGAAAAGTAGCAGTCAGCCCTGATTACTCTTGCTAAAAGTTCAAAGTTAGGACTCGACCCAGCTGTGATACTCATCTCCTGGCGCTCAAGCACTGATTTTTCAGATTAAGTGTAAACCGGACAGGAAGTGAGATGTCGTGCTCAAACGACATAGCAATGACACCATCCATTGCATAATTACTAGATGATCTTTATTTTAATGTGATGGTAGGTGTTAATTATGCAAAATGTCTGTATTTAGGAATTCTTTCTCCAGTGGGAAGAAAACTTTAATTTTCTGCGGAACTTGAAATGCCATTTTCAAAACTTTAGGCATCAATGATTTAAAATACAGTAATTGGAAGGAGAGAGCTGAATATTTCTCAGCTGGTTCCATGGTGATTCTGTTGGAGGATGTGAAACAATGGGGTGTGGTGGGGTATGCTCTGAACGAGTGAACTTTGCTGGTCCCCATGTGGAGCAGCCTAGAAAAAGCTGGTTACTGTATTGAATACCACCCCAGCTATATTGAAAGCCAAGCCAAAGGCTAACAAAACTATTTAACAGTTTTATGACATAAACAAAGACAGGAGAACATCCTGATTCTTTATTTGGCACTTGCACTCCCCCATTTTTTTTCTAACTAAGTACAAATGCTGAAATACTACAAGGGTGCTCTTCAGACATTCTGTATTCAGTTTTTTTTTCTAGTCACTCTGACAGGCACTCACTGCAGAAGGATGGACTACATACTTAGGCCTGACATTCCAGCATCTTGTTCTAACAGGAATTTACCACTCTTACCCGCAAGAGAAAACAGTCCAAAATAACTATCTGAGATCCATTTGTAGAAAGAAGATCCCCTATCTATTTAATCTGTTCTGAGGAAGGGCCACCGGACCCGAAACGTTTAACTCTGTTTATTCCTTCCCAATTGCTGCCACACCTGCTGAGCTATTCCAGCAACTTTGTTTTTGTTCCTGATTTACAGCAGCTGCAGTTCTTTTGGTTTTTATTTAATCCTACCTGACACAGATATCACCAAAA